AAAAAAAAAAAAACAACAGACAAACAACAACAAAAATGGGCAATTTTGCAGTGTACCCAGACTCAGGGCCACCCAGGCCTGGGGAGAGCCTGGAGTCCTCATCCTCCCCAAAGCAGCCAGAGGGCAGCGAGTGAGAAGCCCTGTACAGCTCATGGCTGGACATCTCTCCCTAGGCCCCCACCTGCCTCCATCCCAGGAATCTAGTACACGTGGGGGGTGGAGGCAAGCTTCACACCTGTGCTGTGTCAGTCTCTGTAAAATGCGATAGGACTGTCACTAGGACAAAAAGGGCAAAACTGGAGAGCTCAGGGCAAGAAGTGCGGAGGAAGCAAGACCTAGAGGAGAGGAAGGGGAGGAAATTGAGCTAGAAGGTTCACTGGCCCCATGAGGTAGGCATGGGGAGCTCCAGGTCTGGCCACTAAGTTGCCGTAGCAAGACTCCTGACCTCATGATTTGCTCTTTTTCCACCAAACATACGGGAAGCAAAGTCAGAAACCAGAAAGACTCAAACCAGGCCCAGCCAGGCACAGAAAGAACCATCCTGGGTATCCAGGGGCCATGGCACCAGCCTCCTCACAGATTAGCCAAGGAGTAAATAGAAACAACCCGACTTTGTGAACTACCCAATGTGTAACAGTAATTACTGGCACAAATAAAAAAGGATGCATGTAGTAAAATTTGGTCCCCGTGGGAAAATTGGTCTTAATAGCCCAAATGAAATGCACAGTGATGGTAGCTGTAATTGGAACAGATTCTGATGAAATCGTTTCAGCAAATAAAAAGTGTTTTCAAAACCACTTAGTGTTGTATTGAAAATTGGTCAAGGAATTAAATTGGCTTGATGGAAAATTCACTCTAGAAATCTGCATTCTCCATGAAAATGCAGAATAAGGAGGTCTGTGTTATTTGTATTTATATGCACGGAGTTAAAAACAGCCACTGGGTCAACATGGGGTGTCCTTTAACAGACCCCTCCCCTACATCCAGGGTCCCTCTGCCCTGTCCTGGGTCAGGAGCAGGGACCAAGATCTCAGCTGGGAGTGTGGAGGGGACCTGGCAGTGGGGACATAAGGTAGTGGGCTCATAGGTTGGAGGGTTCCTTGGGGGGCTGTGTGTTGGCTCGGGATTGGAAGCGCGGAGGTCTCGAGGGCCTGGAGGGCCCTGGGGCTTCCTGGGGGTCCCTTGAGTGTGGGCCCATCGGCGGCAGCGGTGGCAGGGAAGGTGGCCAAGCTGGCATCATCAGCTGAGGGCCTGGGAGGTTTGAGTAGCCATCCCTGGTGCGAGGGCTCAGGCCTGGGGGCAGGAGAGACCCAAGATGTGTCCTAGAGCACCCTAGAGATGCTGGCCTGATGGGGACATGCCCACCAAGGAGGAGAGAAGCACCAGCGTCGAAGTGCTTTACATGCGTGGCAGGGTGGGTGTCACACCTCACCTGGTCCCCAGCACCCTAAACTTCCAGGGATAACTCAAGATAAGTGACACTGGAAATGGGTGCCAAAGTGGAGCAAAGCACCCAGGAGAGAACACGGGACTTAGAGTCCGAGGACTAGGCTCAGGTCCCCGCTCATCAACTCTGATCTCGGGCCTTAGATCCTTTCCCCTTAAATGGGTTAATAGTACCAGCCTCCCAGGCAGAATTGGATGAGATAAGGAAGAAAGTTCCCTGCAAACTGTGAAGTGTTCCAATGCCTGGACCTAGCAATACTGATTGGAGGAGCGCATGGGCTCAGAGCATTCCAGCTGGTTCAAGTGTTCCCCAGCAGAGAGGCCCAGGGCAACCAGTGGCTCCCTGTCCCACCCTAACATCTGGGTGGACACCTGGGGACAGATGCCTGGTCTGGGTTTCTGATATAGCTCCTGGGGCTAGAAAGCTCCCCCAAAGGGCAAAGCAGCAGCCCTGAACAGCTAGGGAAGTCCCATGGCACTACCTCTCTGGCCGGGGGATGGTGTGCTGGTGGGCAGTGGACTGCCAGTACGTGGCAAGGCAGATAAGAGGTGGGTGGGTGGATGTAGGGACAATGGTAAGGGACCAGAGACCCACCCAGCTGAGCCAGGGGTGGGGATGAGGTACTCACAGGCATAGATGGCACCATACAATTCACTGTAACGCCCATGGTCATGCAGGCTTTGAGATTGAGGAGATGGAAACTTCACAGCTTAGCAGAATAGAAAAGGAGAAGAGATGGGAGTGAGGGGGCTCTTCCAGAATTTGGTGTCCCCTAGGGCCCCAGTCCTGCTCTCTGGCCCTGTACTGGCCAGACACTCCACTGTGGAGGACCAGTCTTGTTTCCCAGGTCCACCTGCCCCCTCCACACTCAACCCTGGCTCATTTCTTTTTTTTTTTTTTTTT